ATATCGTAAACGATTATTCTTTAATAACATTATTGTCATATCATTATTATTTAAATGACCACATAAGCTAGGAATATCTTGAGCGATTGATATTCTCAAATAATTGACGTGCTTGTATTAATCCGTGGTTTAATTACCCAAGTTTGAGGTGATTAAGCGAATAAACATTAGTTGGAAACCCGACTAATCGTTACACATAACATCGATATTCATCTACTTTTTTTGATGTTTGTTTTATGTGGTGGAATGGTGGTGTGTGATACGTGTTTGTATACGTTATTCATGATTTTAGTTTGTTCATTATCAGTGATACTGTATTAATATTCTATTAGTATTAGAATTCACTCGCTATATTTGGTGTGAAATATAGGTTGTCGTGAATCATGCCATTCACGATAAAGATGATTTTTCTATGAATAAGCTCTCTTCGCGTTAGCCAGATGCTTTATCTCTTTCAAAATGTATTACTGAAAAATTTGTACTGAAAAATTTGTATTGTATAATGTACACATCGCATTGTATTTGTTTGATTCATTCTCCTATTCATTGCACTAAATTTGCTATATAAGGGTATCGCTTGCTTTCGATCAAGCAGTCATTCATTGCCCGATTCGAATATTCACTTTATCACTCGTTGTTGATATCGTCTGTTTCAACTATGTTGTTTGTTGTTACCAAAATATACGTCGGTCAAGTTGTTACTATTGCTCTGAGCCGAACATATTCCGCCTAATTTATTATTATTGTCGCGAATCAAAATATAATCCGTTTAATTGGTTATTGTTGTTGTACACATTAAATAAATCCCTTTTCTTCGACATAGGCAGCCTATGAGGCTAACTTATCAATGATAATCGTATTGAACCGCTCGGATTGTAAAGAAAATAACTTGAGGTTTACTGCGAATTAATCATTTAATACTGTTCCAGACTGGGGTAATCGAGCGGACAAACTGTGACAGTTTCAGCGATACTGTCACTGGTCATCACATGGAATCAGAGGTGAGGAATTGAA